TTATTCTATATCATCTTAATTATAAGTAAAATAAACAATATGAGCATTTTTTCGTGTTGTGTATATCAAACAAAATGTAAATTATGTATTATTTATAGATAAGATTTAAACAATAGGGTTATAAAATTAGGATTCTATCTAATAATTTATGACAATGTCTGTCAATTCTAAGCTTGTTGAATTTAACAATGTAAATTATAATTCACCATCTTCTAAGCTACTAAGCATTCCAAAATCATTTGTTATTAAGTTTATTTAGAAATAATCTAAAAACAATACAAAAATATATATTACATTTTGAAATTGTAATATCCAAAAAATTCGTATATAATTCTTCATTACTTTTTATTAATCCCTTGTAAAGTTTATTATTTTAAGTTAAAACCCAGCAAATGTTAGTGTTAACTCCAGAAAGGGAAACATAATTACTTCCAATTCTTATTGATGAATAATCAATGCTACTTGAATTCATCTAAAAAATTTGAGATATTGCTTAATCAATTTTTAAGTTGAATTCGCTTGAACTTAATAATTTGTAGAATGGAGCTTCAACAATCTTGAAAGTATAATCTTTCAAATATATTGTATTAGAATTTCGAATTTCCAAAGGGAAGTTATATTTCTAAGTTTAAGGAATTGTGACATCACTCAAACATTATTTCAAAATAGCTATAAACAGCCAAAAATGTGAAAATTTCATTAAATTATTTAATTAATGATATTCAAAAAATATATTCATATATATATATATTAAGATATATTAATAAGCAAAGACTACTTAAGAATAAATTATATTCTTTATTAAAGAATGCTTAGATATATATACAAAATGAAAATTCCACAATATTTCTAATTGAATTTATTATGAAAATTAAAAAATAACTCTTCGAATTAATCATTCTAATAAATACATGATACTCATGATCTATTATATAATTGCTTTTTCATTATTCATTAAATTAACTTAGTTATAGTAAATAATCAATTTATTTGATAAATAAAATAATCAATAATTATTAAATTAAATATCATCTTTTAGTTATTTTATTAGTGAATATTAATAAAATAGAAAATTATTAATGCATGGAAATAAAAATAATATGGTATTGAAAATTGTAATTTTAAACATAGTCCTTTGGTATCTTCTTGATGGTAGGATATAGTCCTTTGACAAATGAGAACGGAAATACTAAACTTTAAGATCTAAAACTTCACTGAAACCCTAGCTAATTCCATGCTGGGAATCCTTCAAGCATGGCAAGAAGGGATATGAGATTTTAGGATTTAAGAATATTGTAATTATCTTGCAAACTGCCAGAACCCACCCCTGTCCAATTGATGAGGATTAATAAATAACAAGTTGGGTATTCATAGGCCTGGAAAAATATTCCTTGGGAACTTGTTTAAACTCTATTTCCAATCATATCAATATGAGACTTCCTTGAAGCTAAGAAGAGGGCCAGAAATCCTCTCTGCCAACTGTCTTAACCTGACTGAGGAGAAGGAGTTTATGAAATCATTAAATTAATGAAGATTTGAATCTCAGAAAGTGGAATATATCATACTTCCTTGAGATTGGAATTGTCAAACTCCAAGATTTGACCAGAAAGATTTGATTTTTTTTAATTCTAAGTTCCACCCCAATTTATATTAAAAAATAAACTTCAAGCTAGGACCTTAATGCAAATATATTTTTTAATTCTATAATTTATTTCATTAAATTTCCTTTTGAAAATAAGAAAGAAAAATTTAAGAATGATCTACTGTTTATTTGAAACCCATATTAGACTATATTTGATTTATGAATGACTGTTATTCTAATAAATTTTGACAAACAGAATTAAATTTAGTATCTAAAAACTAATTTAAATGAAACTTTAAATATTAATCAAAATGTGCAATTTAAGCCTAAAATTTGTTTAAAAAGTAAACTTTTAAATTTGAAAAATATTAAGTATCTAATCTATTTAGACCAGCTGTTATAATATGTAAAGAAATATCAAATTATTAACATCAATACTTTATTGCTCTAAACCTATTAATAGGTATAAACTACTATAATATAATCTTAATGAACAGTTAGAAAAAATAAATTTCATGTGATTTAAATTTCAATTATTTTTTCAATAAAATTTAAGAAAATTAGACCTTCCATATGAAATTAGGATGTATTGCTTTTGAATAGAGGCAAGGGAATTGATATTCGTATATCCAATTTTAATTTTAGAATTAATTTTGACGAATCGTTAATTAAAAGTAATTATTTAAGAAATAATTGTATATTTGATATATTAATTTTTTCAATTTTACAGAAATTTCTAAAAATGAGATAAATTTAATTAACATGAATTTCATTAAAAGGTTTTACGCATAAAAAATTAGAGTTTAGGTCAATAGCGTAGACTCAAGGGAACCCTGATAATTTATGTGCATTGGGGTTTTGAATGCTTTTCAAACATGGTTTGAGTTGGTGTGAAATTTATTATTTCAGATATCAAAATGTGAGTAATTGCTTTTGTAAATCTGTCTGTACTCCTCAAAAAATTGTATGGAAATGTGAGGGTCTTTCATATAAAGGGACATTTAACTAGTAAAATACCTATGTCCTTACTTCCTTTTGCCCAAAGGGAATTTAATTTTCTTCCAGTCTCTTTAACTTTTGAATAATTTCTTTAATAAAATTATTAATCAAATTCTTGCCATAATTATGGGACTGTTTGATAATCTTCAAGATTATATTGCATCATGAGAATTATGCTAAAAAATGGATCTTAGAGAAATATCAATAGATTAAAGATGATAATTTTAAAAGAATGCTTATTTTTCTCTTTTTATTCAAATTCTGAAATTTGAACGATCAATTTAATTTTTGTTCTATCTTTATATTCATATAATCTTTGAATTGTATCTAATGAATATATTAGATTTACAAAGAAAATAGTTATTACAATCTTAAGAATTTTACTTTGCTAAATAAATATGGCTTTTATGTCTTCCTAATATTTTAATCTGTTATTAAAGAGTAGATTCTCCTCAAACCATTCAATTCTAATATCTGAATTCCAATCTAAGGCTACATAATTCATCAAGTTCCATTGTAAGAATCTAACTTATTCTACTTGAATATGTTAATTCATAAATTTAATGAAGTGGATCTAAATGATTTTGGTCTCATCTCTTATATACTTTGAATGCTAGGTGTACTTTATTCATTGATATTAATCTCTTTGATTTTGTATATCCATCCAATTATGCATTATCTAACTATTTTTTGTTCAATACAAAAAGCAATATAAGCTAATTATATCTATGTATATCATGGTCTTACTGATGATATATCTTCTGCTTTAAAAGATCTGAATTTTTTTACTAGGCTTCCTAAATTCTCCTTTCTTTCCAACATCTATTCTAATATTAATCTTCTACTAACTCTCAAGAAATGGAACTCTATTTATTGATATAAATTCATCTATTATTTATATATAATTTAGTGATAACCAGAGTTAAAGTCTAAAAATAGATATCCTTGAGAGGCTATTCTTGCTCCTCCTTCTATAGGTTCCCTGATAGATCCCTATAATCATTCAAAATTTTTAAGGCCATTAGGACTAAAATCGTTTTGGTATCTGGATTTTAGAGCAATTAGATTTAATTTTTTTGAATTCATTTGCTTTATCAATCTCTTATCATTTCTATCCTATTGAAGATAGTTTATAATTATTTACAAATCCTAATTCAAATTCTCTCCAAAAATAGACAGATTATTAAAATTTTTTTCAGAATTATCATAAATTCTTTTTACATTTATATCTAATTTCAATTAAATTCTATTGGTCTACAATCAAATTTAAATTATTAAGGAATGTTAAGTATCCAGGTTTATCCTTCCTTTCTTAAAACGCTCTTTTCAATTTATATCATGCGTTCTAAATTATTCCTTTAGTTGGTGTTCCATTTTTAACCTTTCCTTCTGAATTACTAATCTGTTTTTCTTAACCTCTCTTATCCAGATTTATCCTAACCTCAGAAATTTCTTATAAAAAAGTAAAATTTAACATTATATAAATTTCATTTATCAAAAAACAGATTGATATCTATCTCTTGGAAACTAGATCAGACAAGAAACAAAGACAAAAGTTTCAACTCTTTCCACAACCTCATTTTTCTATTTGAAGTTTCCTGACATTGAAAAATGACATTGTAATCACTGAACTCCATAAATCGAAACTCATAAGTATCAATTATTGGAATAGGTCAATAAGCTGGTTTTTCAGGATCCACTAAAGAATCTATCATCAAGAAAAATGATCTTATTTGGCTCTATAAATAAATGCAAAATAAAATGATTTCAAAAGATTCATAGATTTAGTTTGGACTCAACTCAGTTCTTTTATCATTTTGGAAACAGAGGATGATTTAAATCTTTGCAAAATGAATATAGTTATAATGATCTTTTTGAAATTGGTTTATAATAAATCTAGATGGTTAATGATCATTAACTACTTGATAAATAAGAAATACCAAAGGTGATTTATAAAAATAAGGAAATAGCTACAAAATAGATATTTACTATTGTCTGCTTATTTTGAATGCTATAATTAGAAAGCTCAAGCTTCTAAAAATATATATAAAAAAGCAGTTTGTAGAAAGCTTTTTAGAAATATAAGTACATTACTTTAAATACTCTTTATAACTTTAGCCAAATTAATATGATTAAAATAAATATATCATCTCACATCTTTAATACTTAAATATAAACTATTTATGACTAATTCATAATTTAGTATTATTGTAAGAAGACTAATTCTTGAAATAATTTATATTTTTAAATTGCTATTTTTCTTCGAAAATTTCAATAATTTAATTAATAATTTAATAGAAATAGAAAAATAATGTCATAAAAAGAAATAATAAATAGAGAATTAGAATATCATATGAAAGAATTAGATTAAGTATTAGATGTATATAATTTATTATAATCTATTTTTAGTAATCATTTGATAAAATAAATAATTTGATTGATTAATTATTTATTATAGATTCTCCAATTTATAAGTTTAACAATACTAAATTGGAATTATCTTTACCAAAACCTAATTAATTCCATTTAATTGATTAATCTCAATTTTAATCAAATATTCTTTAAGAACTTAAACCATTAATTAATTCAAAAATCAAACAATCACATTAATAAAATTAAACATCATTAATATAATCATCATAATAATAAATTAAATCTTAATTCAATATTAAACCATTTAATTATTAATTAATTTCAAATA